GTCAATTAACCAATAACGTTACTAAGGTTATACACGAAATGAAATGATTTGTTGCCGAAAATTTTGCTTAATGTCGTGTAGGCCATGGTGCAAAAATCTTGCACGATATCTTATAAGGTGTTGGTGTAGGATATCTTGTAACGTATGTTGAAGGATATCTTACACTCGTTTTGTTCTCTTCTCTCGCCAAAGTTGCTACCTTTTTTCTCCACTAGTAACATCCCCTCCCCCTCCCGGAATCCCAGGAGTTATTCTGCGACACCTTTGAGTAAGGTTGTCTGGTCTTTACTTGCTGCTTTTTGAGGCGCTTTCTTTTTTTTCGATATTTTGCTGCAATTTATTCAAGGTCACGGGAGTTTGCTTTTCCACTTTTGGTTATTGCTGTTTGATTTTACTTAAGTGTAGCTTGGTAGCTGAATTCATTTCCTTCAGCGTTACTAGTATTATTTTTAGTCTGTTTAGCTGTAATTTGACTACAGCTTCTTCTGAAAAGTCTCGTTTCTCTCTTTTACTGCATTTTTGGACAAATTTTCCTTTGTCCTTAAAGGTGCCCTTTGCGAAATTTTATCCCTGAGAACTTTTTTCTGGCTTCTGAGAATAACAGATTATCAAAGGCCATAAGGTAAAAGTACCGATGCCAGAGTAACTTTTTCATTGTGTCCCAATGGTGGTACAGTCAATAAGTAACAAGCTTTTCATAATTTTGTCATCAAAAAATTGATTTCCGATGTTAAAAGTAGTGTCTTATTATATCAACAAAACTTATCATCTATTTTTGATTTCATTCATGTAAATGCACGTCGTAATCATAATTCAAACTATTATAACGTAAAAATAATTTGTGACTGCAAAATACGTGGTAAAATTAAGTGACGAACGGTTCCAAACCAACACGTATTTCCACTACGAATTGATTTGACGTATTTTTGATAGGTACTCAAATACGTAACGAATCTATGTAATTATTTTCAATTGGGATTACAGTAAAAAAAAAAAGTTTAGTAAAATATACGTACGATTCAAAACATAAACTTATACTTCAAATGTCTCGCTGGTGAAACACATACGAGATCTGTGCGGAAAGTATCGGGCCTACCTTTACGACTGAAAAACAAGATCAAAGAATTTGTATTAACCTTTGCTTACAGCTCGGAAAAACTAGTTCTGAAACTATTCTGATGATGCAGCTGGCTTTTGGGAACGAGTATATGAGAAAAACACAAGTAAAAGAGTGGTTTAATCATTTCAAAGAAGGCCGTACTTTAGTTGATAGTGATCCTCGTTATGATCAACCTTCGACAATAACAACATTGGATAATATTGAGCAGGAGCGACATTCGATCGAACAAGATCGTCGTATGACTGTGCGGGAACTAGAAGAAGACCTTGGAATACCAAAAACTATAATTTGGAAAATTTTAACCTCAAATTTACAATTAAAACGTGTGCATGCGAAATTCATACCACAATTGCTCAGCGCAGAGCAAAAACAGTTGCTCTTAGAAATCGCATAGTACAACTTAGAAATGGTCAATAAAGATTATACTTTGTTTAGAAAGGTTATTACTGGTGATGAGTCATCGGTTCATGGTTATGATCCTGAAACAAAGCAAGTCTTCTTAGTGAAAACACTCTGGATCGCCAAGACCAAAAAAAGCACGTCAAAGTCGAAGCAATGTTAAGTCAATGTTGATTGTTTTTTTGATTGGGAAGGTGTGCTACACAAATATGCACCAACAGGTCAGATAATCAATAAAGAATTTTATGTTGAAATCTTAAAACGTTTGCATAAGGCAGTGAGAAGAAAACGCCCGAACTTTTGGTCAAGTGATCCGCTATCAAGATAATGCGCCAGCGCATTCATCGAATCTTGTGCAACAGTTTTCGACCAAATACAGTATCGTATTACTGCAACAACTTCTATACAGTCCCGACAAATCCCCCTGTGACTTTTGGCTGTTTCCAAAACTGAAAAAACCACTTACAGGACAGCGATTTGATGACAGAACGACGGATAAGAATAATGCAACGAGAGAACTCAAGGTCATCCCTGAAAGTGAGTTAAAAGACTGTTTTGAGAAGTGGAAACATCGCTGAAACCGTGTTGTTCAATCAAATGGAGATTACTTTGAAGGACGCCATGCACCGGATGATAAAGAATGAAACTAGCATGGAGTTGTAGAGGTAGACCCGATACTTTCCGGATGGACCTTGTAGATTCTATTGAAATAACATGTACGTTTCACTTTAGGGATATGACGTACGATTATCGCGACATGCATTCTCAATGGTGTTATTAAACAAAAAATGTATAAGCGGGAAGCAAAATATATGGAAAAAATATGAATATCAATTTTAATGTTCATGTTATATCCTATGTTACGTTCAAGCAAAAAATGCTTGACGAACGCGGGGATCTTAATATCGATTGTTCGGGAATTACTGAGGATCAATAAACTGTTGAGTGGTAGAAGTTTAAATAGCGTTTATTTAATAGCGTATGTATTTACAATAGCAGTTAGCGGAACTCAGAGGGCAATTGATGTTTGCTCTTTGCTTGTTGAGACGTATCTGATTTATTACAATAATAGCGGAGAGAATAACTAAAGTTAACTATCCAAATATACACTGTAGTCGTTATATGAGTCAGAGTAGAAAAAGAGAGATAAGATAAGAAAATATAAGTTCTGAAATTAAAGTATGTATAAATGTAAAGTGAAAGTTATAAAATTGATAAGTGTTACTTTTAGATGATAAAGCAAAGATAAAGCTATTACAATTCCAGGAAATATAACTATTGCATTTAATGTATTGTGCTAAAGAAAATTAGAAAATGAAAAGAGAATTAAAAGTTCACGATTGACGTGAACATCCTACATGTGATAAATTTTTAAACACACCAAAAATTGTTCCAGCATCGGTACCTTTACCTTAAGAACGTTGATATTATGGTAGTTAGCATGTACCATGCAAGCCGAGTCATTGCTTTTATGAATTGAACGGTACAGCAGAAAAATACAATAGATCATCAATGGATATGGGTGGATATTTAATGAAAGAGGCAAATGAATCTGAGGTACTATCCAGAAGTAATGAAATAGAAGCTTATTTAAAAATCGAATTACAGCTTCAAAATATAGATTGAGAACTAAATAGCTCATGAAATATTTTCTGGTGAGAAACCTAATGTAAAGTATTTTAAAATTTATGGTAGTCGAGTATTTGTGAGAAAACCAGAAGTCAAAAGACAAAATAAATGGTATGACAAAGAACAGTTTGGGATATTTGTTGGCTATGATGGCTATGGCTATAGACGACTTGTTAAAAATGAAATAATTCATACATATGTTCAAGTAATAAAAGAATTTAAAAAAGTTATTTGTTTTAAAGAAAATTTAGAAGAATCTATTTATCAAGCGAGATAAAACTGAAAGTAATGGTGTTGAGAAATTTGAATCTGATCTTAATGAATTTGGAAATGATAAATTTGATAGTAATGAAAGTGAGGACGAAATCGTGAATCGAATAGCCATAAAGAAAATTAGAATGAAAGAAAGGCCCAGTAATAAGATAGAGTAATCAAACTACACATGTAATATACGTTTATTATGTAAATGTAAATATACCAGCAACAGCTGAGGAGGCAGTATTTACAAAAAAGACGAATAATGGCAAGGAGCTATTTTTATAAAAATCAACCAAAAATCATACATGAGATATTACTGAGAAACAAAAAAAAATTTGAGACATGAAATGGGTACGACAAAAAAATGAAAATACATATAAAGCAAGACTGTTATCAATTACAATACTTTTGACAGAAAAAATACAATCAGAACGTATATTTACATGATTTAGTTGTAGATTAAATTGAGTAAGATTATAATACTCCAATGAAGATAAATTTAAAAGTTGAAAAGTCAGATTGTTGCGAAGAACAAATAAAATACAGAAATTTAATTAGCGAACTTTGATATATAAGTGTAGGAACTAAACCGTATATAAGACACAGTAGAAACTATTTAAGTGGACTTTAAAATTGTTAAAATGAGACGTATCGTACGTATACAATGAGGGTGTTAAAATATTTAGTAAAAACAAAAGATACGAAGTCAATTCATAATTATGGTCAAAATAGAAAAATATTGGACTATACGGTAGATTTGGACTGGATTGATGATAATAATGATAGAAAATCGATGACAGGATACGTAATAAGATTGCACAATGAAGTAATTTTTTGGAAAATGCATAGATAATGTAACAAAATGTTCAACATTTGCTGAAAATTTTCGAAAAATTGAAAGTACATTGAAGTACAATGTCACTATATAAGCAGAAACAGCGAAGACAGCTTAAGAAATGCGCGCATTGTCTAGAGTTTACGCAGTAAAAACAGTTAGTTACTAGTCATTCGTGTTATGATTTATAGACAATATAAACCGTATTTTTTCAATTATTCCATCCTCTATTTCAACAAATTTATAAAAATATTACTACAAAATTATTACGATTGTACCGATCTCATGAAAAATTTGTTTGCTAGTATATCTAATACAATAGGTTGATGGATTACATCTTGTACACTAGCGTTAATATCATAAGGAAAATTTAGTACAAAAAACATTTACAGCTCAAATTGAAAGTTAAACCATAAGTTACAGACCTATATGCAGGATGCACGAGGGTGGAGGGGAGGGCTGGCGCCACTCGTCATTTTAACATTGTGGCTTATGGGCTTTTAGGGGAACTTCGCCAACGACAAACACAGGAAAAACTTGCAACCTAAAAATCTTGAACAAAACGAGAATTTATATTCCTCAATGAATTCTAGGCTAAATGTTATGTCAGTTCTTAAAATCATAAAATATATTATACAATGTTTAACTAACTTGCAACATGAAAAAAAAAAGTATTTTATCTTTGATCTATGATGAATGCTCATTATAAATAAAATAACATAATGGTAGAATGGTAGGTCTCTTTTTTATTAAAACTTAATATTTTTTATTGTCAAAGAATTAAATAGTTATTTTATCCAATAAAATTTATCACAATTAAATGCAAAATAATGTGGGCAAATATAAAATCTGCAAATCCTCTTTCTGGTCCAATCCCACCAAAAAAATTTGAATTATGTGGATTTACTTGTAAGCGGAGACACACTGCAACATAAAAAAAAATTCATAATTAACAAAAATAAGACTAGTAGAGTTACGGATTGCAAATAACCTTAATTTTAAAGAACGTTACATATGTTTAACACTATTATTGTTGAGCAAGTGAAAAATATGACTGTTATGAGTATTCTAACAACGAAACATTATTTATCAGAGTATGTTGTTATAGTCATAAATCCGCTGGTACAAAGACGTACACAAATAAAAAGTACATCTTATTTTATTCATGCTTGGAATCTTTATACACCAGATAAGAGTCTTAAGAATTGATGTTTTTTACGTAAAATTTTATTTTTATACTGTATGTACATAGGTAGAGAAACAAAAATGTGCATTTGATACGCGACAATGATCCATGAAAACAACGCCTAGACCCTGCCTTGTCTTCCTAGCATAGGATAGCTCGTATGCCTGAAGTGTACAGGAAGTGTGCGTCTGATACAGGGCAAATCACCACGAAGTCAGCGTGTAGCGAGCCTCATGAGAAACACACAATACTATGCTCAAAATACGTTACTACTAATGTTGTGAGTGCATGGCTTCTAGCTACGAAGAAGACAAAGGTGTCAGTATGTTTTAGACCACATGGCCTCTGGGATCTCTGTTGTGTGAAGAAAAGAGGGGAGCGGTGCGTGTCACAGCAAGTGGTTTATATAGAACTTATGTAGAGGCTTCCTATATTATATTGGAAACTCAGTGGTGATAAGCACATTTACTTACGTCTCTTTAAGCTTCCCTACATCAGAAAAACAATTTATATCATAATATTAATTTTTTTACTGTGAAATATCTCTTATGCCCATCCACAAAAGCAAAAATGCCCCTCTACACTTTTTTACTAGACCCCCCACAGCATTCTTATCGACCCGCGAAATAAAGAAAAAACGTGGTTATTTCGTACTAGTTTGAGGTTATTTTGCCGCACCCCTGAACTTTCTCCTCCATATTATCCTCATTATTAGAAAAAGTCCCTTCTGCTCCCTTACACTCCCTCCACAGTCTCCTACAGTCTCACCATTGCAGCACAATACAGTATTATGCATTACACAACTATGAGACTCGTACGAATATTTCTACTATAAATGCCATAGGTCTTAGAGCCATACGGTGAAGATATGCGTTAAACTGTCAATGGCCTGAGAGGAGCTCGGTGGGATAATAGTTAACCTCACCGTGGTTACACTCTTGCCACGGACTTAGGACTGGTATAAGTTAGTCAGTCTACTTGCTAACATCAGTCCTGTTCCACACCTGTTCCTAGAGTTCCACGCTTGCCTCCCTGCAAGCGTCATCTGACTCAGCCCTACCTGCTAGAAACTTTGCTCTGAGCTCCTGCACCAAAAAGACGATAGGTTCGGTTCTAGAGATCACCATTCCTGCGGCCGAAGAAACCGTGCAGTACGCACAGGCGACTCGCAGGGCCCTGACTTGCTGCACAGGTGTTAAGCAATTTTGGAACCATGCCATCGCCAACGCATTTTCCTAGACCTCCGTGCCGTACAACAAGATGGAGTTCGACACCGACGCGACGCGAGTACCTTTCTTTAGATTCTTGCGGCTCGTTGATATTTGGCATCAGAATAGTTTTTTTTTTTTTTTTTTTTTTTCTTGTGGCTGAAGAGAAAATGCCTTGATGCACACCGCAGGGACTACGGTAGAGTAAGAAGAGCGGCAATGCGTCAAGGAGACATGACGGTTAGAGGAAGAACACCGCTGCCGCTGACGCCAAGAGGTCAATGAGCAGATCCGTCGACTCCATAAGGAGGTGGCACGCTTCTTAGTGGAGGCGCGAGCAGTGGAATATTTGACAGTTGGGCACACCAGCCACGTCAGCTGCAGCTGTACGTATAAATTAAAAGGAGTAAAATACTCTAAAAAATGAAAACACTACTGCTATTAGTGCGTAGGCAGCGCACAGTAGAACGAAAGTAGTTTTTTTTCACAGAGATTAAAATATCTCCTGAACAAATGCAGCTTATAAGTCCACAAATTTACGAAAAATGTCTTCAAGTAAAAATATATCGCTTAAAGGGGTGGAAATAACCCTTCAAGTTCAAAAATCGGCCAACACTAGCGAAAATTTGATATATCTACTTTTAGTTACCATAAATCATCGAAAATTACCGTGGTTACAGCAGAACTACATAATTAGAAGCAAAAGCAGTAACTTGGTTAAACTCACGAGGGTTGAAACTATCCCTAAAACCGTTGAAATGAGAAAATTTATTAAATTTTTGCTCTATAGCTTTTTTTCTATTTTATTTTGCAAACACTTACGTAAATTAGAATTTCATGATACACAAGAAAACTACGGGTAGAAACTACCCTTGTGAAACAGGATTATATTTTTTTATCTTTCTTACTTACCAATCGTAGAATAAAAAATTTAAAAAAAAGCAAAGCTTGAGAAGAAATGTATGATTTGTAATTTTTTTTTTTACATTATTTAAACCTAGATTTATTTTTAAGAACACTGAAAAATAATAAAGAAATTCCTTAAGTCCAGAACTATAGAATTATCGTTTAAATTTAATATGAGTAAATACACTGTAAAAAATGCTGTAGTAATCACTATGCTCAGCATAGGTGAAGTGAAGACCTATGCTTAGCATAGGGATTTTACTAGCGGTTCGTAAAATGTTTTTCCCGGATAGTAAAATTAAATGTCAAGATAGTAATTTTCAGCGAAGCCGAAATCTTCAGAAATTTTTTGCGATCGTATAGTAATTTTACTATCCCAAGCGTAAAAGTCATATCTTGGATATGAGAAGCACTATCATACTGTTCATAGTTCCATTTTTACTAAAAGGGTTATGTTCTTATTTCTTCACATTACAGACACATCTTCACACACAATTGAGTAACGTGATTATTTGTAGAGATCCGAATTATTTAGCTATTGGTCTACTAAGGTGTATACCCACGATGTCATGAAATGATACATAACCTGAAAAGTGTTAACTTTCCAGAATTCTTTCGCTATATACACAATATACCTAATACTTCCTGATTACAAATTTGTAAGAGCACTGATGATAAATTTACTTTTAATCCTTATCACAATTATTGATTTCAGTGCGAGAGCGCGAAGCATGAACCGTAAATTAGGTAGAAATTTACATGTACATTAATGTAGTCAATGCGAGATTCCCTTACCCCCATCAAGAGTAATAGCTGCACGTAACTTTAATACTAGATATTACTTTTACTATCTCGTGTAATTTGGATCAATGTACTTTTACCATTGGAGCGCAGTACTACTAGCATTAGTACTATCAATACATTGCTAGTGAAATTACGATGCTCAAGACATAGTTTTCGCTATCAGATATCAGAATCACTGTGCTCAGGATAGTAAAAAAAGTTACTATCCGATAGTGATTTTACTACAGCATTTTTTACAGTGTATATTTCATATATTAATGTTAATTGCTAGATTGAATCATGTAAAGTTCGAAACTACTTAGAACGTAGAAAAAAAAAAAAAAAAAAAAAAAAAAAAAAAAAAAAAAAAAAAAAAAAAAAAAAAAA